TTGCGCATGCAGTTTTATTCTGAAGTAAACTCTATAACACTGCATTTGTGTATTTTATTTTAAATTAAGGATTGTATTTAAAAAATTTTTATCCGATTAATCGAAAAAATAAATCGTCCAACTAATCTCCATTATGAAAATAATCATTAGTTGCAGCTCTATTAAAAACTGTTAGTTGTCAAAAATCTTAGGGGACAAATAATATATGTACACACATATACATTGCCATATTTTAATAAAATGCATTCAAAAAATGTCAATTAAAAGGGAATGTATAGTGGTTGTATACATTGTATTTGACATAGTTGGGGCTAAAACTAAAGAAAATTAGCAAACCCACAATGCTCTTGCAGTCCTTATCCATTATATATATTTTCCTATAAACATATATGAAAAGCAAATGAAGTATACTTAAAATAAACAAAATAAAACCTACTTAGAAAATCCAAAACTATTATAATCACTTTAAAAAAGTATAACAGATTACAGATAGTATTTTGAATATGGAAACTGACAATTAGTACTCGGCCTTCGCAGTCTGGATTGCTTCAGCAAGTTCCATACAAATTGCTTCTGACTTTATCACTGCGTTGTGCAGACATTCTAGGATTAAGTTTAAAGGGCAACAGCAGCTTCGTCAAAGTTAAACAGCATCAACCAATGCAATTATTCGGAGACACTCGAGAACTGTAATGCTTTACCTTTATTTCAGATTGAGCCTTTTCAAAATTCATTGGCCAGCACAAGTATTGGTCTTCTGCCGATAAGCAAAATAACAAAAGCACCCAACCCCCACCCCAACTAAAAGCTAGAAGTCACAAGATATGAAGTTCATAAGTGTAAACACAAGGCGAGGAGTAGTGTAGGCCAATTGAGTCTCCAACATTTTGGTCTGGAATAAAAAGGTAAAGCTTTACAATGACCATGTTACTCAAAACTTTATTTAAGGGACTCCACATTGGAAAGGGCCACCCACGTATTAACCCTTTTAGGTCCAACAATACTTTGTTTTCTATTAGATAATATCGGGTGTATGAAAAAGGTACATTTTCAAATGTCTTTTTTTGATTAGCGCTCCACTGCGATCCCGATTTCTCCTTCCTGGATAGAATGCTGGATAACAGGACCACTGCTGCTCAGTACCACACGCCCCCGGCTCAGTACATCACGCCCCCGGCTCAGTACATCACGCCCCCGGCTCAGTACGACACGCCCCCTGTACAGTCACAACTACTGTGCTCAACAACGCTCATGCTCACTTAATGGGTATTTCCAAAATAATAATTGCATTTTATTCTTACGTTTATTTTTCTTTCATTTAAGGAAGGAATGCATTGCAACCACGATCATCGGATTATGGGTGCAGGTGTAACTGGGGAGGGTGGGGGTTTTGCGATTTAAACATGTCCGTGCTACACCCTGAATATGGGTGTATCATGCAACATGGTGAGAAAGGTCAACTCAGCCTTTAAACTGGTCATGAACTTCGAATTTCGTCCAAGTCCTTCTGTCCCAGATGAAATTTGAGCAGTGCATGGCCCAGTTCCTACCCTTCTGTTTGACAAACCTTGACTGAAAAATCACCTTTTGTTGAAGGAGCCAGTCCGAAAATTCTCAGCCAAACAGTGACTGCAGCCAATCAGCTTCAGTCACTGAGTATTCATGCACAGTATATGTATATATCTTGGGGGTGTGCGGGGTGCAGGGGGTGTGTTGGATCGCTAGATGAGTACCATTCAAAGCTTTTCCCAACACCCACAAATCAATCCTGCAAGGCTCAAGAGCACTGTTTTCCCCTGATCACAACCCCCCCATTGTAGCCGTTCTCCCCTCATCTCTGCCACTGTGGCCATTATCCCCTTGTCTATGCCACCCTAGGCATACTGCCCTCGTTTCCACCATGGCCATTCTCCCCTTGTCGTCTACACCACCATGGCCAGTTTCTCGTCGTCTCCACCACTGTGGTCGTTCTGCCCTTGGCTCCACCACCTTGGCAATTTTGCCCTCATCTCTATCACCCAGCCCTCTTCTTAACCACCATGGTCTTCCACCCCTCATTTCCACCACTGTTCTGCCCTTGTCTTCACCACCATCCATTGGGGCCATTCTGCCCTTGTCAACATCACCCTGGCTGTTCTGCCCTCATCTTCACCGCCCTGCCACAGTGGGAGTTCTCTCCTCATCTTCACCACCCTGCCACAGTGGGAGTTCTCTCCTCATCTTCACCACCCTGCCACAGTGGGAGTTCTCTCCTCATCTTCACCACCCTGCCACAGTGGGAGTTCTCTCCTCATCTTCACCACCCTGCCAGTCCTAAACCTATATCCACCACTGCCACCTTAACCATTTTTCCTTCATTTACACCACCTTAGCCATTCTCCTACCTAGTCTCTAGCACCACACCACCATAGCTTTTCTCCCCTACTTTTTATCACCCCACCATTGAAGCCATTCCCCCCTTACCACCATAGCCATTCCCTAATGTGCCTGCAATCTAAGTTGTGACCCCCTCTAAAATCCATACAACACTTTCTAGATATCAGGACACTCTCTCCGACATATATCACTAACTAGGTTACTATAACCCTTAAAAGGGTAGTCATCAAAAATGTTGCTCCCCCATCCCTAACAATAACCCAATTATCAGATTCACTCACACAACACTGGAAGCCAATAACCCAGAACCCTCGCTTTACAAGCCAGCCATCATCTCAGTGCCAGACTCTTGTCACCAAGCACGTGGTCCTTTCAGACCAAGTCACCAAAGCTGTGCCTCTGAAAACAGGACCCCCTAGTGCAACCCAGTAAACAGGGCTATGCACCTCATCACCAACCAAAACCCAGTTTCCTCTCCAACCCCACCACTGGAGCTATGTCATCGAAAGTTGTGCCCCTCCACAAAGTAGCCACATGAGTTCCAACATGCCACTTATCAGAACAGTGCCCTCTTAAAGCATCACTCCAGCCAGAATAAATATTCTGAAACACCACACTCCTCAAAGTGGTCTACTCGGCCCCACTCCAGTATCCCCTGCCCGCTCATGCTCAGGGGTGTGGAATTCCTATCGCCCGATGCCTGGGACATGCAGTTCCGGGCAGGTAGTTTCTTTCCACATTTAGCCCTGCTTCGGGCAGGCAGCAGGTCTAAATGTAGAGGGGGAGCTGTTTTGTACAAATGATCTCGAGCGGCTGTATAGCCGCTCAAGATCACTTGAAAGCAGCTCGATTGTCACCCCCCTTCCCCTCTTGCTGCATCTCTCCCTGGCTGCTGTCTCGGCCACCGCCCACCGGCTCTCTACCCGCCGGCTGGCTCCGTCCCTGCCGTGGTCTTCAGGGTTCCCTGCTCTTCTGGGGGAGCCCGGACCACGGCAATAAAAAGGCAAGTTCACTTTCCAAAGCAATTTGGGAAAATTGAATTACCCGCTCAAATCTGGCCAACTCTCACCCCCTCCCCTGCTAGACTTGCCGTTCCGCGAGCAGTCCTCTCCCCCCCCCGTGTACTATCTGTACCTCATACTGCCATCGGGTGCTGCCCTGTGCCATGTATTCTGAAATTTTGGTTGCAAATTAGCACTGCTAAATACAGTTTGGTTAAGATTATTTTTTGTATCACGAGAAGAACGTAGGAACAAGTAGATTGGGCCCCCACTTTAGTCCTTGGACTTTTTTTATTTTTACATTTCCACACCACTGATACTGCGCATCTTTGCCAAGTAATCTACTACTTTGTGCCTGAAGCAGCAAACTGCATCATTATATGAATTCAGATAATAAAAAAGTTGGCCGCAGAGCAAAGGAATCTTCAATATTCCACAACTTTTTTTTTACCGCACGTTTTATTACATGTGTAAAAATTGAGGTTTCAGGGTAGCACTGGATCCTTTTATAAGGACATTGGCATACAGCCTGACTTACTGAAGGAGTTAAGAATCAATACATCAAGTGAATACACGATGATCCAATCAGGTTTAAAGCAAACTCCTGTGCACTTTGACTAGCCGATCATTTGCTAAATAAACAGGAATTTGCTTTGCACAGAACTGGATAATTGAAGTAAACATTTACAAAGTGACGGTGGGCTTTACTCCTTTAGTAAATAAGCTCAAGTGTGCCCACCCCTCAAAGAAGGGTTCCTGTGGTAGCCTGTTGAGTTTTGCAAATGCAACAAAACTCCTTTGCCATGCTGGCAGCTCTCTCCACCAGAGCTGCGTCACTATCACCATAGATGTGCTCACCACCACAGCCCAGCCACCAGAGCTTTTGCCAAAGCCCAGCCGCCGGGGATGCACC